GGGTTGGTTCATTAGAAAGAGGACACTCTTATTAACACGTTGAGAAAATTTCATACTCATATTCCAAGAAATAGATGTTATACGAATTTTTAATACTTAATCGGCGAAAATTGCAAAATTCGAAAAAATTTTCAATCATTTAAAAAATTTATTTCTTAAAAACTAAAAGCGATTTTTCTAAAAGGCTTTTTGCATTAAAAAGGGGACACTTTAATTAAAAATTGGTGATATTTCCACAAGGATCGTTCAAGAAATTAATTTTATAGCGAATTTTGAAAATTATTGATGAAAATTGCAACATCGAAAATTTGATCAAAATTTCAAATATTGTTTTCTNAATTGCAGCATGAAAAATTTGATCAAAACTTCAAATATTGTTTCCCCAAAAACTAAAAGTTATTTTTCAAAACGGGTTGGTTCATTAGAAAGAGGACACTCTTATTAACACGTTGAGAAAATTTCATACTCATATTCCAAGAAATAGATGTTATACGAATTTTTAAAACTTAATCGGCGAATATTGTAAAATTCGACAAAATTTCCGATCATTTCAAAAATTTATTTCTCAAAAACTAAAAGCGATTTTTCAAAAAGGTTTTTTGCATTAGAAAGAGGATACTTTAATTAATAATTGGTGATATTTCCACAAGGATCGTTCAAGAAATTAATTTTATAGCGAATTTTGAAAATTATTGATGAAAATTGCAACATCGAAAATTTTATCAAAACTTCAAATATTGTTTTCTCAAAAACTAAAAGTTATTTTTCAAAACGGGTTGGTTCATTGGAAATAAAACAGTTTTATTAAAACCTTGAGAAATTTTCATACTCATATTCCAAGAACTGGATTTTATACGAATTTTTAAAACTTAATCGGCGAAAATTACAAAATTCGAGAAAATTATGGGTTATTTCAAAAATTTATTCCTCAAGAACTAAAAGTGATTTTTCTAAACGGCTTGTTGCATTAAGAAGAGGATACTTTAATTAATAATTGGTGATATTTCGACAAGAATCCTTCAAGAAATGAGATTTATAAAGAATTTTGAAAGTTATCGATGAAAATTGCAACATCGAAAATTTTATCAAAATTTCAAATATTGTTTTCTTAAAAACTAAAAGCAACTTTTCAAAACGGGTTGATTCATTGGAAAGAAGACACTTTTATTAACACTTTGAGAAATTTTCATACTCATATTCCAAGAACTGGATTTTATACGAATTTTTAAAACTTAATCGGCGAAAATTGCAAAATTCGAAAAAATTGTCGATCATTTCAAAAATTTATTTCTCAAGAACTAAAAGTGATTTTTCAAAACGGCTTTTTGCATTAAAAAGAGGATACTTTAATTAATAATTGGTGATATTTCCACAAGGATCCTTCAAGAAATTAATTTTATAGCGAATTTTGAAAATTATTGATGAAAATTGCAACATCGAAAATTTGATCAAAACTTCAAATATTGTTTTCTCAAAAACTAAAAGTTATTTTTCAAAACGTGTTTGTTCATTGGAAAGAGGACTCTCTTATTAAGACTCTGGGAAATTTTCATACTCATATTCCAAGAAATGGATTTTATACGAATTTTTAAAACTTAATCAATTGAAAAAATTGTCGATTATTTCAAAAATTTATTTCTCAAGAACTGAAAGCAACTTTTTAAAACCGTTTTTTGCATTAAAAAAAGGATACTTTAATTAATAATCGAAAGTGATAACAGCGACAGTTCTGTTAGTAATGAATGTGATGCGAAGAGAAGAAAACTAGACAAAACTGCAACAAGAGATTTTATATATCGTATTGGGATTGTTACAATGAGGTTGCTTATCACAAACCTGATATGAATAAAGTTGTATTCAATGAAAATAGTTCTATTGGGGTTGAACTTGATTATTATCTGCAGTGTCCAACACCTAAAAGAGATGCTAATTCCTGTGAATGGTGGAGTACTAAGTAATAGGTTTTTGATATCCGGCAAAAGCTGATTGAACTTGATTTATTTGTGCCGGTATATATGTCTTGAATTAATCCTGTGAAAATTAATATCTATTGGTTTTAATTTAAAGCGAAATCATGTCATTCATCATTCCGCCGCCAAGTATACTTGTAATTATCTTGTAATATATACTAAAAGTAGATAAATTAATGTATATAAAAATAATTATACAGAAAACAATAACGTAAAGGATTAACTCTTATAGATTTAGCTTCTAAATAGAACTAAAATATTATGTGCTCAGCAAATTGTGTATGAACGATAGTAGATAAGATAACAATACCTGTCGGCAGTTTGGACGATAAAAAACGGTTCACATGTAGTAAACCGATAGGCGTGGGTGCGTACTGTATTATTATTAATTTTTATGAAAAAACATATTAAGAGTTCTAATTATTATTAACAACCACTAAAAAATGGGTTTACTGTATGTTCGCACACTACCAGGTGCTTTAAAATGCGTACAATTGGTGAGTTTTCATAAACTTATTGTTATTTATTACATTTTTTTGCTTACGTAAGTTTTTTTTACTTTGTACAGGTTATGTATTTTTTAATAACTCAATAAATTTAAATTTAGAATTACGAAAAATTTCGATTTACGACACAAGCATGTCGTTATCATTTATTTTTGGTATATCGCTAATCTTCAATGCAATACATTAATTAAGATTATAAATTTCCGTTAAGTTATAAATTTAAATACCAAAAAAGATTTTGAGAAGGATTAGATTTCAGATAAATAATATTCGTTCAATTCGTTTACAAGTAGATAAAGGTTTGGTTTAAAGTAAATTTCACAAGGCTTTTAAATTCCGAGTACTTACATGAGTTATTATTGTTAGTTTAAACGATCATCTTAAAATTACTACTTTTGAATCGATTAAAAATGGAAATAGGTTATATTTACACCTTATTTTAACTCAATTACTGATAAAGATGTTGATAATGTTAAGCAGTTAACACATTTACCCACATTTTCATAAATAAATTAATGTTTGTATTTTTTTTTAGTTATTCAATTTGATTGCTTTCATTTGTATAGCAGCAACGGGAGTTTCAGCGAGAGGTGACGCCTTTTTGGTCGCTTCAGTTGGTGCTTTCGTAATAACTTTACTACTTTTATTAATAAGAATCATGGATTTAGACACAAAAATTAATTTACCTTGGATGAAAATCGAATTTGGTTATTGCGTGATTTGGTCGATATTCTATCTCATAACAGCGGCTTTAGTCATAGATACGAATGTGGATGGTTATATTGCTGGAGGAGTAAGTATTTTTTTATAAATTATATCAAAATAATTTATGTTAATTAATCTTTTTAGGTTTTTGGGTTATTAGCAATGATTTTATACATCATCGATGCTATAGATAAGTTTAGAGCTGGATTGTAGTATTAATCAAATGTATTTATTGATTTTATATTATATTGTTGTACGTTCCATTTGTAGAGTTGTTTGATATTACAATTTTAAAAAAAATTTATGTGGTGGTGTAAGATTTTTTTATAATAACTCATTAAATTTTTTTTATCTCATATGACAAATTTTATGTAAAAATGATTAATCATCTGTTACTGATAAAATTTTATTAGTTATCAAGAAATCGTTATCGAGACAGTAATAGTGATGGAATGCATAACAACTTCATGGTAAAATAAATCCAAAAAACAGATTTCCAATTCGTGCCACTAACTCTTCTTCTGCATTAACACGTCTCATAAATCAGTGATTTAATATGACCCAAATAAAAAAGTTAACTAGAGTCATATCTGGTGAATGTGCAGACCAAGAAATCGGACCACCTCATCTGATCCATCTGTTTGGAAATTGTGCATTTAGACAGTTTTGGCAATTTAATCCAAAGTGTGTTGGTTTTCTTTCCCAAGAGAATCATGGCAACTTTCAACTCAAAACTGATTTCAAAGCAAACATAATAATACACCAGCCAGGAACACTCAAAATAATTGAAAAGGAGATTATGCCCCATGACACCCCAGAGCAACTTAAACACGGGTATAACGCTGACCATCTACACTGATGGACCAAAGAAGGCTACGAAGCGGGAATTTTCTCGCACAATCTCCAGCTGCAGCTTTCCACTTCGCTAAGGTCGTACTGCACGACTGCTCAGGCCGAAATAACTGCAATATATATAGCAGCCAATGTGATCATCGACTCCAAAAAAGTTGGCAGAAACATTGTAATCTGCACAGATAGCAGACAGGCTATGCTGGCGGTTAGTAGGTATCGAACTACACCCACGATAGGCGTGGGTGCGTACAGTATTATTATCAATTTTTATAAAAACCATATTAAGAGTTCTATTTATTATTAACAACCACTAAAAAATGGGTTTACTGTATGTTCGTACACTACCAGGTGCTTTAAAATGCTTACAATTGGTGAGTTTTTATAATTTTATTATTCTTTATTACCTCTTTTGCTTACGTAAGTTTTTTTTTACTTTGTACAGGTTATCTATTTTTTAATAACTCAATAATTTAAATTTAGAATTACGAAAAATTTGAATTTACGACACAAGCATGTTGTTATCATTTATTTTTGGTATATCGTTAATCTTCATTGCAATACATTAATGCAAAGCTTTTAAATTCCGAGTACTTACATGAGTTATTATTGTTATTTTAAACGATCATCTTAAAATTACTACTTTTAAATCGATTAAAGATGGAAATAGTTTATATTTACACCTTATTTTAACTCAATTACTGAAAAAGATGTTGATAATTTTAAGCAGTTAACACATTTACAACCATTTTCATTAATAAATTAATGTTTGCATTTTTTTTTAGTTATTCAATTTGATTGCTTTCATTTGTATAGCAGCAACGGGAGTTTCAGCGAGAGGTGATGCCTTTTTGGTCGCTTCAATTGGTGCTTTCATAATAACCTTACTACTTTTATTAATAAGAATCATGGATTTAGATACAACAATGAATTTACCTTGGATGAAAATCGAATTTGGTTATTGCGTGATTTGGTCGATATTCTATCACATAACAGCAACTAAAGTCATAGATACTTATGTGGATGGTTATATTGCTGGAGGAGTAAGTATTTTTTTAATAAATTATATCAAAATAATTTATGTTAATTAATCTTTTTAGGTTTTTGGGTTATTAGCAATGATTTTATACATCATCGATGCTATAGATAAATTTAGAACTGGATTGTAGTATTAATCAAAAGTATTTATTCTTTTATATTATGTTGTTATACGTTTCATTTCTAGACTTGTTTGATATTACAATTAAAAAAAAAACGTATCTACGACTGCTTGGATAAGTCATCATTTCCACACTCATTTGAGGTGATTTGAATTACGTAAGGAAGTTCATTACGTAACGCATTTTTAGCCCAATCAGAACAGACTTAATTTATAGCAAAAATATTTAAAGAGAAACAATACTATTTATTATAAACATTATGTTTTCACATTTCGAAATACTTATTCCAGATGAGTAAACATGTTATTGAAACTGACATTAATTCAAAATTGTCAACAATCGTTTCAAAATATTTTTATAAACGTCAAAATAAACCTTTTTAAAAAAATTGATTTTTAAGTAATTTTTAGCAGTCGTAGATAAAATGTTGTATATTACACGTGGGCTAGAGCATAATTACAGTACTCGTCGTGCAATTCCCATACAGTAATTATGTTTCTAGCCCACTTGTAATATAAATAACTAGTATGTGGTGGTGTAAGATTTTTTTATAATAACTCATTAAATTTTTTTTATCTCATATGACGAATTTTATGTAAAAATGATTAATCGTCTGTTACTGATAAAATTTTATTAGTTATCACAAAATCTTTATCGAGACAGTAATAGTGATGGAATGCATAACAACTTTATGGCAAAATAAATCCAAAAAACAGATTTCCAATTCGAGCCACTTACTCTTCTTCTGCATTAACACGTGTCTCATAAATCAGTGATTTAATATGACCCAAGTAAAAATGGGTAGACCAAGAAATCGGACCACCTCATCTGATCCATCTGTTTGGAAATTGTGCATTTAGACAGTTTTGGCAATTTAATCCAAAGTGTGTTGGTTTTCTTTCCCAAGAGAATCATAGCAACTTTCAAATCAAAACTGATTTCAAAGCAAACATGCAAAATCGAAGTAGATTGACTTACGTGGACTAATACAACAACCAAGAAAACTCCAAATAATCAAAAAGGAGATTATACCCCATGACATTGATATCCTTGGTATCAGTGGATCGCAATGGAAAGGAAAACTGTATTTCGAGAAACAATGTTTATTTGTCAGGTCACATGGAGGAAAGTGTAGCAGTTAATGATAGAATCATACGACTCCCTGCCTCAACATGCATTCTGCACATAACGTAAGTCTACTTCTATTTCGGAAGAGACAACACTAGAAAATTTCTATACAGCTCTGGACGGTGTAGTTATTAATGTGCCTAACAAAAACATCACAATCATTTTAGGAGATTTTAATTCTAAAACAACAACTATGCACATTGACCACCATATAAGAGAGGTCGTTGGAGGCTTTGGACTAGGAGAAAGGAATGAAAGGAAAGATCTAGGCAATGGACCGAGTACTTGTTTTCAAATAACTGTCAAATTGTTGCACAACTTGGTCCTCAAAGTCAATACTTCAGATAGTAGGATTGGCTTCCATTTTCTTTTCTTGACTTGTACGACGCTGAGGAAGCCGCTCCGCATAAACTGTTCCATAGGCAACATGCATGTCTGCTAATTCAATATTTGTTAAACGATAACAACATCTATATTGTTGATATCAAAGAAATTGTATAACTAGAAGCAGCATTGCCTATCTCCACTCGTATACGAGATTGAAGCCAACGTTCGAGTGTTTGTTTTGGTTTTGGTCCCACTGACAGTGGCGTGTATAGTTTCGGCAAAATCAGACTTACACAGTGGCGTACATGAAGAAATGTATATTATCATTTTTTTTTTATTGAGCAGGTTTTTCAAAATTTAATGTGCAGTTTATACGCTATATTGATTGAAATGTTTATTAAGGAATGTAAATTTTGAGTTCTTTTGTAATTAATTAATTTATAATTGTAACCGTATAAATTGTGAACGGTTTATTTCTTACAAGTAAATTAAAGATGATATAATTAGAATTTTACAGTACTTTCATGGTAAATAATGCAGTAAAAATATTGTATTTGCAAATAACATTGATATTTTGTTTCAAAATTTTTATTACATAACAAAAAACTTAAAACTTAACTTATAAATATAAATTTTAAAGTAACTCTCATTGATTTGAAAATACTATTT